TCCTTCTTCTGGGATGCTCTTTCCAAAGATATTCAGCTGGCCCCCTCCAGCAATTTATTCATCGCTCTGTTCAGATAGCATCCCCTTATTAATATTCCTTGACCATTCTATTTGAAAAATCAGCACATGTCCCTCCGTCTCATTACCTTAGTTTACTTTTCTTTCTGGCACATATCACCTCCTGACTTACTGTACATGTATGTATTTTCTGATATGTTCTCCTCCTTTTAGAGTACCACTTCCAATACAGACTTTGTTTTGTTTCTTTGCTTCATTCCAGCCCTTAGACCAGCCCTGGCCATAAAATAGTTAATCAATAAAAAGCTATGAAAGAAATGAAGGAAGATCTTTCAGTCCAATAGGTACAATGATATGCAAGTGTATGCAGAATAATATAAAAGCACAGATGAGGGACACTGAGCCAATCTGAGGGTGCAGATAGACTTCCTGGAGGAGGTGAGATCCCTGCTGTTTTTTATAAAATAAGAGCCATCCAGGCATATACATGTAGGAAAATCATTCTTTACAGAAGGAACAGCATAAGTAGAAACTTAAACACCTGAAAGAGAAACTTCATATTACAAGAATATGAAACAGGAAGCCAAAGCATTGGTAACTTGGGCTGTAGACAAGCAGCTTCGCACACCCCATAGAGGAGAAACAGCCAACACCAGACAGCTCATGACGGAGCTGGAGCCCCATGTTTATACCATCTTCACGATATTTTCTCTCTCTCTCTCTCTCTCTCTCTCTCCCCCCCCGTTTTTTCTCGTCCCCTACTGCGTCCTCCTCTTTCCTTCTTCTCATCCTTCTCCTCTCTATACATATAAACTCATTTTGTATGATTTTCTTCTCAATAGTCTCCCTTCCTCCTACTCTCAGATTGTAGTATGGGCCACCACTGGAATTCCTTTCCATAATCAATTTGTTCAACATGTCTTTTCTCTTTTCAGGTGCCTTCAAAATCTTCCCAGAGAGCATTTTTTAAACTCTTGATTGTATACCATTCATCCCTTTTTTTCTATTTCCTTCTTCTGAGCTAAGAGAATCTGCTTTGATGCAGATTTTGAAGATGCCTCCAACCCCCTCCAGCTCCATGAAGTAAGTCTTGTTTTTGGCCTAAACCAAGTAAGATAATTCTTTATGCCATGTCAATGAATGACTTAAGACTTAAAAGATGCCATAATCTATTCCAGTAAAACAGCAAGAAAAGCTGATGATGGGCTTCTGGAAAAGACTTCCTTCTAATAAGAAGAGACACACAGGAGGAAATCAGCCTTCTTCTTCCTCTCAGAGTTGTGTCATCTATGTGTAACTACTGCAGCATCATGGAGTAGACAGCCAAAAAGGAACAACCAGGATGTTAGAGAGAAAAGTTGGGGAAAATTTGAGCCCTTGATGACACTTGGATTAACAACCTTGGATCTACCCTACTTTAGAATTGTTATGTCAGATGAAAGCTTTTCCTTATTACTGAAATAAGCCATTTCAGTTGAGATTTGTCTTACCTACAGACAAAAGCATCCTAATTTACTTCAGGAATTTCTCTATATCTCATTCTCCACTAAGGCCCTTTACCCCCCTTCTCCTATAGTCACATTTTTTTCTAGGGTAGCTACATATTTTCTTATTTAGTCTTCAGGGATCTGAAAATATTTCATTCTTTTACCTCTGATCTTCTAGATGACAGATTTGCCCTCTTTTGTCATCCTAGTCTAGGCCTATAATCCCTAGCACATTTATGACAGTTGACTGATATTTATCCTCACCTGTGTATACTTTTGGTTATTAACTTGTTTTCAATCTGTGCATAACTGAGGTGAGGTGTGCTCCCTGGGGTGTGACTCTGTTTGTCATGCTTTCAGGCATTTATAGCATGCTTTTCACCAAACTATAGTGCTTTGTGCCCAGACTGTCAAACAGAGCCAAGTAAGCACAGCCCTCAGAGGAGAGCATGTGGCTCATACACACTCAGGCAGAGAAGGATCAAAAGGAGATGTGTCACTTATGAGATTTATATGGATAAAAATTATTCTAACCCATCCTTGTAATCAAACTGGTTGCCCTAAACTTGTCACTAAGAAGTACGACATTCCAGTTTTTAAACCACTCAGCAGTTACACTAAAACAAGTCTGGATAATGTTTTCTTTTGATCTTCATTTTTTTAAGATGTAAAAAAGGGGTTTGCTAATCTTATTTAAACTCAAATATAATCCTCTGCCTTCATTAGGATACTGTCTTTCAAGTTAATTTTAATGCATTTCTCTGTGACATGTGTACTAATAAGTGTCCTTTATTACATGATTTAATAATGAAATTTCACCTACTAATGAAGGATGTCTAAGCCAGATTTTCTTCATACTGTACTCTGCATTGTAGTAGATGCAGTTAGCTAGTGGAGTCAGATTCTGGAATATAATTTCAGATTTAGATTCACACATAAATGCTAATATATTTTTCTTAAATTAATTGCACATCATTACTCTAAAATTGACTTCCCATATATAGTTACTGAAGCCTTATAGTTATGAGGCAGCTAAGAACTGCCAGACCACTATGTGCAACACTTTTATTAAACTACTTTTTTCTTCTTTGAGAACCACAATTGTAGAAGGCTGAAGTAACCATATCCCTTGACTTTTGGTACAAGCATTTTTGGGTTTACAGAAGTCATTCTCTCCTTTGCTTATTGCCTTGGATCTAATACATTCTCTCCCTCCACCCCCATAGACAACACTTTTAATTTGTTTAATGTATACCCTTTTTAATATGTGTTCATGTTAAATATTAATTTTGTTTTATACTTTTTAATTTTCATAAAGCAGCTTCTATTAAATGGCTTATTTTTCCACCTAGTATGATTTTTTCAAGATTGATTGTATTACTCTGGAAACATGAATTATGGTTCTTCCATCACATTTTTGTCTCTCCACTTCCCAGGAGCAGATGCCCAAATGACCTCCTGCTTTGCAACATCACAAACAGTGCTGTGATGAGCATGCTCATACATACCTACTAACACGACTGTATGAGAATTTCTTCGTAAAGGAAATGACTGAATCACAGGGTTCATGTATGTGCCAAGCACTGTATGTGCATTGCTCTGAGTCTTACATCTTGCATTATGGGGCCTGTTTCTGCAGCTCTGCAGAGGAGGAAGTAAGGTCTAGGGAGGTTACAAACTGTAGGTGGAGGAGTAGGAGTTTGAGTAGGAGTTCATCTCTTCCAAACCCTATACTCCTCTCACTTGCTTCCAGATACTATTCAGAGAAGCTATTATTTGAGGTTGAATGATTTTATTTTATTGTACTGTCTTTATCATCCCTATTTACTAAGGATAGTGATTTACCAGAAGCATTAAAAACTTTTGTCTAAGACATAGAACATTAATAGGCTTAATTTGGTAGTTATCAGTTAATAAATGTAATTTTATTTGCTCCACTTCACAGTTAGATCCTATAGCTTTTCAGGAATTCACTTCATAGTACAAAGAAGGAACGCTTTAGATTCAGGTTTTTCTAAAATATTGAAAATATATAATTATAATTGATTCATGAGCTTTGGTATATGACAGGTTTATTGGAAGATGGAATTTTAACTATCATACATGAGGCACTGAAGATGACTACTGTGTCCATGCCAGAATTATACCTTTCTAGATAGGAATAGAATCCTTTCACAACTCATTCCAAGGTTAATTTTATACTCAACCAATTTTATGCAGTAACCTTTACAAAAAATTCTCTCCATTTGGGCAATTGTCTTTACATGTACAAAGGAAAGTGTGGATAAATGTCCAGAGTTGGATTTATTGCATTATTTGTCTTCCTTACTGGATTGTACACACTTTGAAGGCAGAGAAAATGCACCTGTGGAGTTATCAGTGTTTTCCACATTCACATGAGAATCGATCCATACCAGAGAAATAAACAGTCTGAGTATTTTACAACTCCTAGACAAGTTTATATTTCTCAGTCAGTTTCAGGGAAGAGAAAAGGAGCCCAGAAAAGACAGTGTACACAAAATCTTATCAAAGATGCACAGAACCCCAAGAAAGTCCCACTCAGGTGGTGAGCGAGAGCTAGAAATGTACTAAAAGTAGAAGTGTTACAAATAGAATACCAAAGTGGAAAGAGGCATAGAAAATATGCTTGAGTGGTCCTTTCTGCCTAATATTTAGGAAAAGGAAAACCTCTCTCAAGCAAATGGAATGTGTCATCTGGAGATTGCTATGGGAGGGGAAAGAAAGGAAGATGCCCAGCTTTAGCCCTCCTGAGATAGGAAGAATGGGTTTCTGGAATAAATAGCTTGGGAAACATGAAGAGGGGAGTATTACTCAGAAGGAGATAATGACACAAAAAGATTGCAAGGAGACAGAGGGTCTAGGTCAGTTCTTCTAGGGAACATATGTCTCCAAGAGTGTTAAGACACCAACTTCTTACAACCTGAAACAGCCAGGATAGGTTGAGAAATAGAAATTTCAGAACCTCATCACACAAATACAAACCATGACAGTTTATATCCATGTACACAAAAACACATATTAATCAAGAAACTAATTTTATAGCCATAAGCAAAAAACCTCACAAAACCAATAAATTATTTCCAATACATACCTATTAATAAGTCCAGTTCAATTGAATTAAGAACCTCTAAGGAGCTAAGTGCTTCATCACAGAGAACACAGCCTTGTGTGACTAGCTCTGTGTTGAATGAGTATTATCAGTGAGTAAGTAGAAAATAGCAAGAGCATTCCATTTCACTACACAAATCAGATAATTGAGATCAAGTGAGCCCACCTCAAAGATTTGAAAACATACATTATTAATGACATTCAATATGTTAATGGTTTCATCCAAGGGCCAGCAAAACCCACATTTATTTCAATAGTAAACTTCTGTCTCCTTTAGCTCAGTACACACCTATTCAAAAGCCATGTTTTACTCTTGTTTTGACAACAAGCTCAGATAATGTAAATTACAGAAATATTTCTCCTTACCTTTGCTGTTTTCTGGTGGTGATGTGGACAGTTTGGCAGGTTAGACTGGAGCTGTGTCCCTCAAAGGAAATACAAGCCTTCATTTTTTGCCCCTCCCTTTTCCATCTGTGTCTTTAATGATTCAGTTCCTGACCTGCTGGGTGAAAAGCCCAGCCCCAAAGAGGAAGTCCTTCTAAAGGCCTTGAGAATTTTAGAGAAACTCAGGATGGCCAGCTCCAATTTTTGGAGAAGCACCTAATTCTTAACCTCCTTCTGCTACTACTGAGGAAATGTAACCAAGCTTAGCCTCCAATCAGGAATGACAAGCTGTCTTTCTAGAGTAACATCAACACATTATGTTGACAGTGCCATCCATGTTAAGAATTCCAGGGATTGCCAATGTCAGTGTACATGACACAAAGCTACTCAACAGGAAAAATTCCAGTTATGATAAATGCTTCCTAGCCTGAGGCACATTGATCCCAAAATCTACAGTGCTCTTGCACATGGTTTTTATGCAGAGCTTCAGCAGTCTGCCAGCAGGTAAATCCTGTCCCACAAAAAGAACACAAGAGTGCACTCAAGCAGCACTTATTCTGTGGTTTCAGTTTAACAGCTTGGTAGAAGCAAAATCACCACTACCTAAGCGAGGGTTACACCTGAGACACAGTATTCAGAAGCGAGAAAGAAAAATTACACTAGAAGAAAGGATTAGAACTGGAGACAAAAAATGTCTGGGTGTGCAGTAGCCAGAATCATCATTATTGTTACTGAGTTTGGAGGTACCAGGTTTTTCTTTTGAAGGTGATTTCTAGCTTCTTTCTGTCTTGAGCAAAGAATTGGTCAAGACAAATGTAAAGCACTTGTGTGCTGTGACATGGTCCCAGGCAGCTTTAGTCACGCCCTACTTTTTTGTCTCATGAGAAAAGCCCAGCTTCCCAAAGGTCAGTCTTATCCCTGCCACACACAGCATAGCTTCTCAGGATGATACTATTGTAGAAAATATAACTCATAATGTTGTAGCTCTAGGCAGTTTAACAGAGTCAGGCCAAGAAGGATCAAACACACACCCTGAAAGTTAGGGGCAGGTTTATTTTGCTAGCAGACTAATGAAGGATTTCTCCAAAAACCAATCAGACCCATTTGGGGGTGAACAGGGTTTATATAGATCTTGGAAAGGAGGGGTAAGGATGCAGTGGCAAGACATTTAACATTAGTTCATTGATTGAGGTAGATACATTTAGCTTATACAATTGGATAGAAAGATACATTAGGATTTATCTTATTTACATATGGTGGGAAGCAGGGGTCATAGAAACCCTACTGAGAACAATGGACAGGGGAGGAAAACATGTCTGCCAAGTCTGAGTGAGACCCAGAAGGACATGTTTTAGGTGCAGGAGGGGTCAGAGCTAGAAAGAGCCATTTGTTTGCTACTCAGCTGCAGCACAGGCTCCTTCTGGTCAGAAATAACTTCCCTGTTCAATACCACAGCCAGGCTTAAACAGTGAAGGCAGACTGCACTATGTTCAATGAGAAGAGATAGTCCCATGCAGCTGTGATTTTTCTCTTCATTCTCAGCATGCCACATGTCTTCTATCAGTCAAAATTAAACTGTACTGCAAGACAGGAAAACTGGAAAGCCTGAATCTAAAATTATGGTCCTAATAGGTTCTCATAAAAATAAATGTACACAAGCACCTACACAGACCTAAAGGGATTCTTATCTCCCAGTCTCTTTCTGTTCAGAGCATAATTTGTCTGACAAGAGTCAGGTTCAGCTGGTGACTCCATGGTTTGGAAGGCTTATGTCCACTGTGACGGCTGATCATCTACTTTTTGATTTGTTTTAGTTGTGCCCAGATCGCGAAGTCCCCAAAGTTCCCAAAGCCCACCAAGGAGCTGATTCTGATGCAAACGCATGAGGGTCATTTATTCAAGCTTGAGTAGGGACTCTCAATTGTCACTGATGCAGCGGATCAAGATCAAGAGCCCCGAATTTCAAATTAGCGGGGTTTTTATGGAGGTTACAGCAAGGTTTGGAGATTTTCCATTTAGCAGTTACATGATTGGTTGACAATTAGCAAGCATGAAGTGTACATTTTTGATTGGCCAGGTGCATGGGGGGGGGTTGAGGGGTGGTTACATGTAAGTTTTACGAGGGAAATGAGGGGCAAAGGTTGGTGGTCGACTGTCACGTACTGATGGTCAGCAGACACACTGACTATTAGTCATGACCATTACGTACTGACAGTCAGCACATCTACAGACTGTTCTATGGATAGGGGGCCTGGAAAGTTCATTTCCTGGGCAAACAGATGGCTGAGTAATTAACTTAGGAACTTTGGTTTGTTACAGATTGTATCTTCTGTCCCAGAGCAAACACATTTTAACCATTAATTTGTGAGGACAATAGAGACTAGGGGAATAGTGGATTTTAGCAAAATGGAGTCGCTTTGGTCTCACATTCCCCCCTTCTCATGATGCTATAGAGGACCAATCATGGGCCTCTGGGGGTTAATTCTATTAGGTCTGTAGAGACTGGCTGGTATTGGGACCTGAGTACCATCAGCTGTACAGTGTTAATGCGTTCTCTGATGAAGGAGACTCTGGCAACACTACACCTAGACGACTCAAACAGCAACGGGTCTTGGTTAAATTTGCTGGAATATAATCAAAGGTTATTCCTTCACAGGTATAAAACCATCCTGTGGGCAGGGAGATATGGCAATTGTTACACACAATTTTTTGTTTTATATGGCAGGACATCCCTTCTGACCATTTTATCCTCAGACATTTGGTTGTACAATTTTCACACATAGCACATTCAGTTTTGTTTGACATAATTACCTTGGGTGTATATAATTTGACAGCATTTTTAGATTTGTGGCAGGTGTCATGCCCCCAGTTATAACTATCCAGGTAAGTAAGATTTTTTCCTGGGATGTCTTTAAATAGGGTATAGGGTCATATTAATTCTAAAGAGGTGCATACCAGAATGAGACAGCTTTCCAGCACATAATGGAAATTTACATCAACATTTAAGCAGAATTCAGACAAGTTAAGCGAGTTTGTCAATTGAATCCATACATTTTTTGTGTGATCTAGTCTTCTTGGGGGCAATAATGCCAGTGTCTCAGAGAATATTATCATTAAGGTGAAACATCTCCAACCCGTTCCAGTCTTAGCTTTTGGTCACCTGGTTGGCTGATAACCTTTCATTTGTCCTTTTTGACATCCACAGGGGGTCCTGCTTTCAGATGGTTGCAATGTATCCAGGCAGAATGTCCAGCCACCTTCACTGCCAAGGGAGCTGACAGGACAGCAGGAACCGGTTCCTTCCAACGAGGTTCCAGGGCCTTGGAATCAAACCTGCGAATTAAAACCAAATCTCCTGGCTTATAGGGTAAAAGTTGTAAAGGTTTTTCATTTGGACTAGTCGGTTTTTTTCATAATGTCTCATGTAGCTCTGACTGAAGCTGATGAACTGTTTTTAAGGATTTAAGGAGTCAAAGGTGGGAAAATTTTTCCTTCAATTCTATATCTATTAATGGAATGATTGGGGGAGATCGCCCATAAACAATCTGGAAGGGGGACAGATTGAGGGGAGGCTTGGGAGTGTACCTCATTTGGAGGAGGGCAAAAGGGAGAAGCTCTACCCAACCTAGTTCAGTCTCCAAGCATAATTTAGTCAGAATCTCCTTTAAAGTTCGATTTGTTTTTTCTACCTGTCTTGAACTTTGAGGCCTATAGGCACAGTGTAGATTCCACTTTATTCCAAGGATATTACTAATTAACTTAGATATCTTAGCCACAAAGGCTGGACCATTGTTGGGCCCCAGAGCTAAGGGCAAACCAAAATGGGGAACTATTTCTGTCAGTAGCCTTTTAACTGTTACTTCTGCTGTCTCCTTCTTAGTGGGGTATGCTTCTACCCATCCTGAAAATGTATCCACAAAAACTAGCAGGTATTTGTACCCATACATGCC